AAGCAAGGAGTGGCTGAGCAAATAACCCAGAAAGGGACTGAAGCCAAGTGTCTGTTGGGTCTTAAATCTAAGGAACTACAGACTACTTATTTGAAAGTGCATTGTTCAGTTATTATATATTTAGTATACACCACAGTAAAAGAAAAATCAATCAGTTACAGGCATGTGTACAGCGGTGTGTTGGTGCTGTAATTTTAGTTCCTAAGTTTCATTAAACAGCAGTATTGGTGACAGTACAAAATTGATTCCTTCCATAAGGATTAAAATGAGAGGGTGAAAAATATAGAAGACAAGGATTACAGCTGAGTTGAGACAAAGTCCCCCAGGTATCTGTACTGGGACCAGTACTGTTCATACATGAAAAGGAAAAAAGTAAACATTGAAGCGGCAAAGTTTGCCGATGATACAAAATTTGGAAAGATCTTGGAAAGAGAGTTAAGTCCAAAGCAGAGTGCAAAGAGTTACAAAGGGATCTCACAGACCTGGGGGTTGGGCAATGAAAACAGCAGATGAAATTCAGCGTAGATAAAATGCAAAGTAACATATCGGAAAACAGAATCCCAATGATACATCCGAAATTATGGGATCTAAATTAGCGGTTACCCCTCAAGAAAGTTCTCTTATGCAGCAATGGCTACATTAAGCGTACATCACTAAAGCGGTGGACAATAAAATATAAGGCACCATACAAAGTATCAATATAATACTACAATTCTTGTTTATTTGAGCAGGAACACGTTTTTTGGTCATGCTATAAGAATATAGCAGACAGCAGCATTTTGGAGATTGCTTAGCTTATAGAATTGGGACTGGAATGAATTCTATGAATCACAGTCTACAATTCTAATTGTAGCCTCCAAGACCTATTCCGACAGAAAGATGTTTCTCAGTCTCTCCCTCAGAGGCATGTAAACTTGCATTACAAGGCTCTCTTTTGGTGTCCAAAGGACCCAACAGCACTTTTCACAAGAGCAGGCGTGAGGAAGCCTCCATCACAGCCAGACTGTAATGCAAAAAATCACATTCCGCCTGCCTGAAGTTCCCCAGAGAACTGAAATACTTTGTATATAATACCCTGGTAAACAAACAGTTCAAGTTCCCGTTGAAACAGTCCATCTTTCCATAGCTTAGCCTGGGCTCCCTCATGCAAGATGCTGAATACCCTGCATTTCCTATTTCAATTGGGGGAAGCTGAGCAGGACCTCAAGACAGATCTAATTGAGCTGAGGCAGAGGATAGAATGTTGTTTCGCAATTAGGACTATAGGTAAAATATTAACCCTCTGATTGCTCCTTGGCTGTGGCTGCTGGGCTATTCAGTTAATTGCCAGCACCTCTCTGAAGTTCCTTTGCTCTGGGTGATCTCTAGACCCGCTGCTCTGACACGCAGCCTTAATATCTGTAAGGGTAATTCTGCTAATCCTGCATTGGGATGCAGGTAAACTTATTTAACTTTGATTTTCTTTTTAACTTCCATTCTATTTTTACTTTTAAGCTCCAGAGAACACAGCCCCATTGGCAGCAGCTGTAATTATGAAAGATAAATGAACACTAACACATTTAGGGAGACACCAGCTTCTCAGAGCAGGTGCAGAGGAAATTCCTGGCCACCACAACCAGAGACAATACATATGAGAGAGCTGTGGACTGAAGCACCGCACACGGCATGCTTGACAGAATGATTATGAGATGTATTTTACAGTCTCATTGGCTGAATCAAGCTCCTCTTTCTGAGCCAGAAGAGTTCATGGTCCCTTTTAATAGGAGCAAGAGAGTTTCTCTGGCTAGGAAATTCAGACCAATCAGATTTTCATTGCTAACAGAGTTCTAAGACCACCATCCTCTTTCCTCCTCTTCCACTTTTAAAGAAAGTCATTTATTAGCTGGCAGGGTGACCAGATGTCCCAATTTTATAGGGACAGTCCCGATTTTGGGTTTTTTTTCTTACATAGGCTGCTATTACCCCCCACCCCCCACACGATTTTTCACACTTGCTGTCTGGTCACCCTATTAGCTGGCTTTCCTTGCTACAAGGCTACCACAATTTAACTATCAATTGCATGGATGTCTGGTCTGAACTTCCATCCTTACACAATGTACCCTTATAAAAAACACACAAAGCCCAGAGAATGGCCTAAGAGAGGTGTCCCTACATATCGGTCTGGGTTTTCAGAAGGGCCGAACACCTGCAGCTCCTACTGACGCTAACAGGATCAGCACCTCTGAATAACCAGTCCCGACCAGCACATCATTAGGGAGCCTGGATCAAACTGCTGACCCATGAGGGCAATACTTGATTCTTCAGAAGAAAGCAAAATTGCCTCATTGTGCACCCAGAATTTTAACAGAGCTCAGTTTAAGTTTAGTACTCTTCAGAACTGGCATCCAGGCTCAAAACAGCAGTCCTAATTATTCTCTCTCAACCTTGTAGGTCAGGAGTAACTCCATTACCACTGACCTACAACAGCTCAAGTAAGAGGAAAATCGGGCCCCACTTTTACCACTTGGCTATTTTTTGGGGGGGGGGGGGGGGGTAAATCGTCAAAGCAAAAGGCACATTCTGTGCAGATGTAGCTCTCCACAGAGCTGCACTCAGAGCTTGTATGCCCTGGTGAAGATTCCCAGCTTTGACTCAATGCATTGATGTGGTTTCGACCACAAAGATTTTGCATAGATACAGCTACCCTGGTACAAAAATCCTTCCTGTAGACAACAAAGTCCCAGTTACACAGAAATAAAATCCGAAGGGGCTGGAATTATTCCAGATTTACACCACTGTAAAATGTGATATGAAGATCTGACACAGTGTCCATAGAGGCTTCTGATCCGGATTTTCCTCACTGACCTCAGTCGAGTTATTCACAATTTACACTGGTGTAAGGAAGAGGATGTAAAAACCCAACAGAGCTAAGTACCGGGGTTTCTGGTTCACGACTAGGGCTCTGAAGTGCTAGGGTAATACAAATAAATAGTAATACCTCTCTCCTTGGCAGAGCAAGAAAGTTATTTCAACTCCTGATAAGCACAGGTTTTCTAAAAAAGAATGAAGTAAACTGCAGCAACTCATTGAAAAGTTCTTCCCAGTGTGAAATCAGCAATTTCCATGACAATACCTTCCCTACAGCAGCCAGGGAATCCCAGCGCTTACAGACCCACTCAGGGAAGAAGTGGATGGATGCACTCAGCCCACAGCTTGGTTTCCAGGCTTTGTGGACTTCTAGGCACAGTCTACCCTCAGCCTTCAAAGACCTGCCGCAGAGGAGGGCAGGTGCAATAGCTGTGAAGACATTTGAGGCACCCACTCTGCTTAGGAGGCAGTTGCTGGTAAGAACACATACCCACTCGATAAGCTTTAACTTGCAATGTTTTTGAGCCATGGGGACCAACCTGTCAGTGCATTTCCTCAGTGTTTCATCTTCTGTACGCAAACCACTGTGAACACTCACCCTCAGTAAGCTTGGGCCCAGCCAAAAAATGCAGATCTAGCTATTAAAATCAGACCCCTTCCCCCCTTTAAGAGCATAATGTTGAAACCGCCCATGCACAGAGCTCCCACTGACTACAGTGCAAGCCAGAACATCCATTGGGCTCAAGTCTGTTCAGAGTTTTTATACCCGTGTAACTCCACTGATTTAAACAGAGTTAATCCCAATTGACGCTAGTCAAACAAAGAGCAGGATCAGGCTTTGGCGACTTCTAGGAACTCCTTGTGCAGTGTAAACGTGCATGGGGTTAACCCTTTACAGGATTGGGACCTTAATATTCCACTTTTCACAGGGATTCTCTTTCAGTTACAAGGGAAGCATACATACATGTTTCCAATGCAATAGGAAACACATGCTTCAGTTCATAGAATCAGAATATTAGGGTTGGAAGAGACTTCAAGAGGTCCTCTAGTCCAACCCCCTGCTCAAAGCAGGACCAACCCCAACTATGTTCAATATGTAACAAACTCTCCTCTTATGGCACGCACACACATACACTAAACTTTGTGTCATGATCTTGCTTTAAATTGCCCAGTGCTCGTTACACACCTAGTTTAAATTTTAAACTAACATTGCTAATCACCTAGTGCCAACCAGACCCAGTGGAGAGCAAACATGCCAGGGGCAAGCCACACAAGAAATAAATAGGCAAGCAAAAGATACCTAAAGGTATTTGCATTGTTAAATTCTCAGCCAACTGCTTGTTGACAAGCACAAACTCCAAGGGGGGGAATCACAAGGGCTCTCACACACACAGTGGACTGACATTCCAGCCTCCTTATTCAGCCTTGTCAGAAAACAATTGGGAGAAGACTCTCTTAAAAGCCATCAACCAGAGAGACACATTGCAAACTGAACATAAAGGGGTGCTGAATGGGCACAGGGGAGTGGCAAGGAAATTGTAGCTGGCTCAGAAAGAGTTAGAACTTCTAGATGAGTGATTAGCAAGCACCATATTCCATCTATCAGCAATTCCAGGATTTGAAAGGGGGGAGAAGCTCCCCCCACAAATGAGAACACCCCCAAAAGCTTGGGTCCCCCCCCCAGCACGGTTTTAATTTTGTTCTCCTGCTTATATAATTAAGTCACAAGTCCCCTTGACTCATTTAATCCCCCCACCACCCCCACCCCTTAAAAGAGCAGCAGTTGAATAAGCTGGGGTCAGAGTTCTCTTTCCATGGGAACCAGAGAAAAGTCAAAGCAAGCGGGTGTGTTTATGGCTTTATGCAGGAGCGAAGGCATGGACCGGGGCATGCCACCTGAGAAAGGGAGTTTGGAAAGCAGCGAGCGAACGGGGTTGGGGTGGGAGGAAGAGTCAAAAGAAGGAGGAGGTAAAGGAGCAGGGGGAAAAGGGAAGGAGCAGGGGAAAGTGGAGCGTGAAAGAGAGGGAAAGCGGGAGACAAAGTGACCGAGGGAGAAGGGAAGGCACAAAAGGGAGGGAAAGTGAGGAGAAAGTGAGAGAACAAAGCCGAGCAAAGGCAGAGGGAGGCGCCCAGCGCCAAGGGGCTCGACCTACCCAGCGCGACCACGGCAATCTCCCCGGCGGAGCTGACCATTTTGCAGGCGTACCCCAGCCTGGCTGCGCCCGGAGTGTCGGTGCGCCGGTTCCCTCTGCTCCCTGCGGTGGGCAGGGCTCCGTCGCCGGGCGGAAATGGAGGCGGATTCACCTTTCAACCACTTGGACCTGAGCGGAGCCGACCATCACCCTCCTGCCCCCTCCGAGAGGGGCACGGGGGGCGCCCGGGACCCGCGGCTACTGGAGACGCTCCGTGGAGTCCCGGGAAGGGGCAGGCGCCGGGGGAGAGGAGGAGCAGAAGAAGTGCGGGGAGAGATTAGTGCCTAGGCGTGGGGCGCAGGGAGATGCCCTAGCTAGGGAAGGGAGATCGGCCCCACATCGCTAGCAGCTGGAGGAGGGGGAGAGACAAGCGCGCACAGGAGCTTCCGTGCGCCTCCGCCTTGGGGAGCCCCAGGGGCGCAGCGCGTTAGGGCGCACGCCGGGTCCCTCCCGGGATGATAGCGAGCGGGGCTGCCTCGCCAACCCACGAGCCCCAAACTTCACCAACTCCGGGGCCGGCAGCTGTGCGAGCCCAGCACACGGAGATTTTTATTGGGCAGCCGGGATCGGTTTCCCAGTGGCTCCCCCTCCGGCCACCCACGGCCCCTCTGGCCATTACACCATAGATAGGAGCAGCTGGGAGCTGCCTCCCACGGCCCCTGTGGGTAGCTGGGATTGGGCCTTCAAGACTATGGTTTGATCAGCCCGAGAGCGCTCTCTCTCTGAAGCCTGCCGTGAACTCTAGGCGGCAGGAGAGGGTCAGAAATGTTCTGCCTCCTCTCATCTGCTCCCTCTTCTGACAGCCGGACCTATCAAGAATGGCTAAGGCACTTATCACCTGGCTATCTAAGGGCTTGTCTACACTTCTGATCACCGTGAGAGGTTTGGCGTTAAAGTATCTGGCCTCCGCCTACAAAATGTTGTGTTGCCCCCCCCCCCTCTGGCCCTGGCACATGGGCGATTCACCTTCCTTTGGAAGAGGGTTTAGGGGGTTCACCTGCAGCCAAGCATGTGTGGATGCATCCTAAGGTTTGAGAATTAGAAGGGTTGAACTCGGCGAATTGCAGGTCCTAATGCGGTTTCCAATAGGTCTGATCTCTTCGGATGTGTACAAATAAAATAAGTGTTGTAAAAATTATTTTATATTGATTTTTACCATTAACATATAAATAGAGACCTAAAACAAGAGTCAGGGAATCAATGCATTCTCCCTGAAATATCCTTCAAAGAACATAACATCAACCTTTATATCCCCGTATTAGCAAACTCATCACAGGAATAACTATCAAGCCTTCATTTTGCCTGGCGCTCAGTGACAGTGGAATCTGTAGACTTGTAGTTTCAAAACTGACCTGCTTTGATCGTGCCACTGTGTTTGTCCAAGTATTCTTCATCTTAGCACATCTTCCACTGCTGCAGCACCTTTCATCCTGAATGATCTCACCCAGCTTCAGGGCAAATATACAGACATGCAGCCACTTCTGGCAACCAGCTGCCACCTAACACATTGCACAGGTGGGGTGGAGGGGAAATTTTGCCTAGAGACAAACCCCACATCTCTCTTACAGAAAGTGCTCTGAAAACTTGAAAGTCCACCTGGGTCAGAAGGGATGGCAACTGACAGAGAGCCCCTGGCCCCCCAACAAAGCACAAAGGATGAAGGGCTAAGATTACCAAATGAGAAGAAAGAAGTTCTTTGGGTTAGGGTACTAGACCAGGGCTCAAAATATGTGGGTTCAGCTTTTTACTTTGCTACAGACTTCTTGTGCAAGTCATTCCATTTCACTGGCCCTCCGATCCTCGTCTGTAAAACAGAAATCATTTCCTTTGTCTGTTTAGATTGTAAGGTCTTTGGAACAGGGGCTGTCTCTTTCTACCTGTATGTGCAGCCCTGAGCACAATGGGACCCTGAGGTTGGCTGGGCTTCCAGGCACTACAGTAATACAAAGAAATATTCACGATGCTGAGATGTAAGCTTAAGCATCTAAGGTGTTTCCAAGCCAAAAGGTAGATGGTGCTCTTGCGACAAGGAGGTGCCACAACTCTAATCACAAACCATAGCTTTAGATGCTGAGGTCGCTGAGTATAAATAAGAAATGCAACATGAGCCTGGCTCAGGAAAGCGTGTGTTATTGGGAAGCTATCACACTCAGCTTTGCTCAGGACTCTTGCAAATCAAATGTCCTTAGAAAAAGAGTATGCACTGAAAGGGCTTTGCCCTCTGTGGGCTGTGGTTAGTTTGTAGGAGGCGGGGATCAGGAGGAAACCAGGGATGCAACCCAGCCCTTCCCTTTGTGTATGTATCACGGATCCAAGACTCCCAGGTTGCATAAGCCACAAGAACATTCTTTCATTTAGGGCTGGCCAAGTGACAACGCCCCTTCCTCTCAGAGGCAGCTCTTACCTTGGCAATCCACGCCTTCGTTACCTCTAATGCAAGGGCTGGGGCTGGCCCTAGCCGTGAAAGCCACCTGGAAGCTCGGGCTTAGGCCAGAAAGCAGCTGCATTCCTTCTGCGTGGGGCAGGCTGGCAAGAGCATGACATTTCCTAGCTTATATGGCCAGATGGAACCAGTGTGATCATCGAGGTCTACATTACAGATCTACATCACTTGCGGGGGGGGGGGGGGTGAAAATCTCTCCCGCCGGCACAGAGCGGCTACACGGGAGACCTGACAGCGATATAGCTACAGCTGAGGTCTGTAGTGCAAAGCCTCAGAGTGTCTTCATTAAAGCATTACAGCAGGGCAGCTATATTGGTGCGGCCATGTGGAGGCAGCATTTTAAGTGTAGACATGCCTCTACTCTGACCTCCTGTGTAAAACAGGCCTTAGGACCTCCCTGAATTAATTCCTGTTTGAACTAGAGCCTAGCCTTTAGGAAAGCATCTGAGCTTGATTTTAAAAATTGCCAGTGATGGAGAAGACACTGGCCCTCGGTACGTTATTTCAATGTTAATGACTCTCACTGTTAAATATTTGTTTAAACTTGTCCAGCTTCAAATTCCAGCCCCTGGATCTGGTTTTACATTTGTGTCCTAGGTCGATGAGCCATCTGTCATCAATACACCTTTTTTTTACTGGCTGACAACTGACTGCTGGGTGGAATTCACGACATACAAAGCTCTGAACAGTGCAGACCCAAGTTACCTTTAAAACTTGCCTCCCCACTGTATAGACCAGGGGTGGGCAAACTATGGCCCGGGGGCCACATCTGGCCCTTTAGACATTTAAATCCAGCCCTCGAGCTCCTGCCGGGGAGGGGGGTCCAGGGCTTGCCTGGCTCCGCATGGTTCCCGGAAGCAGCGGCATGTCCCCCCTCTGGCTCCTACATGTAGGGGCAGCCAGGGGGCTCTGCACACTGCTCTCGCCCCAAGCGCTGCCCCTGGCTGGCAGCCATGGCCAATGGGAGCTGCAGGGGTGGCGCTTGGCACAGAGCCTCCTGGCCGCACCTCTGTGTAGGAGCCAGAGGGGGGACATGCCGTTGCTTCTGGGAGCTGCTTGAGGTAAGCGCTGCCTGGAGCCTGCACTCCTGAGCCCCTCCAATGCCCCGACCCCCTGCCCTGATCTCACTCTCCAAACCCCTTGGTCCCACCCTCCTGCACTCCCTCGGTCCCAGAGCCTGCACCCCTGATGCCCTCCAGCACCCCAACCCCCTGCCCCAGCCCTGATGCCCCTCCTTCCCTCTGAACCCCTCAGTCCCACCCTCCTGCAGCCCAGAGCCTGCACCCCCAGCTGGAGCCCTCACCTCCCCCCACCTGCACCCCAACCCCCTGCCCCAGCCCGGAGCCCCCTCCGCACCCTGAACTCCTCATTTCTGACCCCACCCCAGAGTCCGCACCCCCAGCTGGAGTCCTCACCCCCTCCCGCACCCCAACCCTCAATTTCGTGAGCATTCATGGCCCACCATACAATTTCCATACCCAGATGTGGCCCTCAGGGCAAAAAGTTTGTCCACCCCTGGTATAGACTGTGTTGTCTAGCATATAATATCTATGTCAGCTGGATTTTGTGAAGCAGGGCAAATAGCAAATCCAGCACTGGACAAATTCAGCCCAGGAGCTACAAGATTCCAGCAGCGAAGTCCATCTGGAACGCCTGCTGGATTGAGAGATTGTAGGAGTGCAAAGAGGCTGCGATTTCCCCTTGGTCAGGGAGCCCTGCAGGTGGATGGTGTTGGCAGAAAAAAAGGGCATAACCGGCGTGGGGAGGGGATGCACTGGTTCAGCATGTTCCCCTTGGGACAGTCCAGGAGTAGCACCTCCAGTGATGTAATGGTAAAAAAAAAAAAAAAGAAAGGAAAAAGAAATGGGTAAACTAACCTAACCTCCATATTCCCCAAATGAGAAGTGGGTAAACCTGTAGTTATCCTTAACTCCAGTACTTCACTGCTAACAGCAATGCTGGTACCATCCTTCACCTCCCTCACCCCGAAGGGTGAATTCTCTTCGGGGGTGCCCAGTGCTGGCCTGTCTCACCTGGTGTGAATCCAGCTCCTCATGCGGGGTACTGAGAAACCTCCTTTCCACACCATTGCCAGCTCCAGCCATTTTATGACGAGTCTTGTGATATTTTGGTGTTTTTCTTAATGCCTCAGCCCCTAGAATCGTGTGAGTACAAGAGAATCTCAGCTTTCATGTAAATAAAGAATAAAGAGAGTTTCTAGGCCTCAGGGCTATGCAGAAAAGCCAGTAAATGTGAACCCTAAAGTCTCAGAAACTAGAAGGCAAATAATCCTCCCTCCCCCAATTTGAAATCTTTGCTGGCCTGACTCAGAATTTTGGAATGTTGGGGGGGCTGGCCCTATGACTTCCCATTGCAAGGATCTGCTTTCCAACCCTACACCCTCTTTTTAAAAATTATTCTTAGTCGTGGTATGTTGCCGTGTTCCATTTCTTCCTTTGGTGAAACCCCACAAGTCATCAGGGAAGTTGTGACTGCTGGGGGCGACTTTGGAGGTTACCGATGCCAAGGAAGTCCCCGCTCTGTCATGGTCTGTGTGGCCACACTGATACCAGTGTGGCCGTTACGCCACTGAGATAACCCCCTGGCAGTGCCGAGACATGAAATGTCTCTGCGCTGGATTGCCCAACAGATGCTCAACTTTCTAGCCACTGGCAGACAAGCCCAAAGAACCACCCTGGTAACAGCATTTAAAACGCATGCAAACACTGTTATGTTATTTCCCCCTGGATTTCCTTCGCAGCCCCTACCCCCTCACACATGCCGCTTGCCACATAATTTATTTGTAAATAGAAGCTTCCTCCGTTGCAATCAGCCTCCCTCTCTTGGGCTGATTCATTCGCGGAAGTGCTTCTTGCAGCCTCAGAGTCACTGAGCAATACTGAGTGAATCAGGGCAGATTAGCAAAGCCGTTTGGAGGGGTGGGCTGGGGGAGATATCTTGATAACCAGCGGTGATGAGGAAAGCATCCCCCCTCCTCCACAGTGTGGGAATGATACGTTGAATGGGGCTTTGATTGGGCAGAAAATTTTGTAAAGCTAGCTGC